TGTACTAGGTTCCCACCACCTTATATTATATATAAGGCATATCTTTAAATTTTACAAGGTAGATATAGTTCAAGTATCAAAAACCTTATAATAGCTTAAAAATCTATATATAATTATAATTATAAATTTTAAAATTCTAAAAATAGTTTAAATTGAACAGATTTATAAACTTTTAAAAATCTTGAAATAGATGGTCTCGATAACTCGTTACAAGATGGTAACCTCATTACAAGATGAATTATTTTTAGGACTTGAATTTTTTTTCTCTATACCTTACATCTAAATATCGAGATGATCAATTGGGATGTTTTCCCACTTTAAAACACTATGTTCTACGGGATTTTTGAGATGCACCTTACTTCCTCAATATAAGGGTGCAATTTTATACAAACTTTTTCCTTATAGCAAATAGCATAAATTAGCTATTCTAATATATGATTAGGGCCTTTTGGCGACTCTTAATGGTAGTTTAATATTCGAAAAATTTCATATAGATATTTAATCTTCCATCTTATTTACGGTAAACCCTCCTTCTATTTTTCTTTCAAGCGCCATAAAAGAAACCGTAAGTATTTCACCGTACCCCCTCATCTCTTCTCGGCCACATTTATTCACTTTTAGCCACAAAAACTAGCCACATTTATTCACTTTTAAATTGAGATGGAATAAAACAATTTTTTGAGGTTAGTTTTTATTGCCAAAAGTAAATAAACGTGTGAGAGAAGAGATGAGGGGGTATGGTGAAATACCTGAGGGTTTTTTATACTGTTTGAAAGAAAAGAGGGGTCTACCGTGAAATATGATGGGAAATTGGGGTTCTCTAACGAAATTTTCCCTTCAATATTTATTCACGTGTACGCACTCTAAAAAACACGTACGTGTAAATCAAAGACTCAATCTCAATGTACTCTTTTTATTATTATTAAACAAATAAGGATTTTTGAAAAATTATTAAAATATATTTAATTTATCAACTATTTAACATTTTAATATTTTTAATTGTTCTAAATTATGATTTGATAAATATTTTAAAATTAAATCGCAAAATAGAAATACAATATTAAATAGTATCTCTTATATGTATTTGGACCTGGTTTTTATGCGGCTAAGCCCATATATGTAGAAATGTGGGCATCTTAATAAATCTATTTTTGAGATGGATTTTGAGAGTTAATTTTTTAGGACATGTAATCTCTAACATAGAGATCATAAATATGAAAAGATAAATAAATTTTAAAAACTAAAAATAATAATTCTAGTAAAGAAACATTTGGCATGTTAGTTTCCACATATTTTAGATGGAACGCCTACTTGCATCCATCTTTAAGATGGATGCTTTACATTTTCTGGACCGTATATGTAGAAATGCGGTCCAGCCCATATAAAACAATTTTCCTGTGTATTTTGATAATTTTTTTAATTATTTTATAAATTTATACTTTACCGTGGTTTACAACCATTAAGGGTACATTAGTCATTCTAACATAGGATTAGGGGCTTTTGGCCATTCTTAACGTGTTTTAATATTTTTCCACGTGCACAGACACTTAAAAACACGCATGTGTAAATCAAATACTCAATCTCAATAGGTTCTTCACTTCTTTGTATTATTTTTAAACAAATATTATAATACTAAAATTTTTTATCAAAATATACTTAATTTATTAACTACTTGATATTTTAATCTTTTGCAATTGCTCCAAATTGTGACCATGTATATTTCGATAAGTGTTTTGAAATCAAATCAAATAAAATAAGTACAACGTTAAATAATTCATCTGAGGTGGATTTTGATAAATTTCTCATAGTATTTTATAGATCTAAAAAAAAAGCTAGAATGCTTGTGACTAGAGTTGTTTGTTTTTATTTTTTGGTTCATTTTATTTTATTTTTTATACTTTTTTGACAAGGCGGTTTGTTTGGTATTTAATATGAATTTAGGATAATATCTCGATCATTTTCAATCCAAACGTGGAGATGAAATTCGGACAAATGAGAATTTTTATGAAACTAGTTTTAGTGATATTTCCTCCAAAATTATGAGAAAATTTTAAAAACTCGAACAATGATAATATTTTCCATAAAAATTTGAGAAATGAAATGAAAAGAAAAGGGCGGCTCTGATGGAAAGAAGCTTTTGGTAGATGGGAAGCCTTTTGCGCTGGCGTATTGCAGGATTGACTCCAATTATTAATTTGGAATGCCACGAATTCACAAAATGCCCAAAACCAATGGACAATTTACTTGTGATACCCTGACCTTTTTCCACCTTAATCATTGGTGTACCCCCACATTCAAGTGTTCATCTTTCATCCTATTATGAGAGAGAGAGGGAGAGAGAGAGTGGGAGAGAGAGAGGGTTTGGGCCATAAAATATGGTCGGAGTGCCGGCTGAGGATTGGGCATGGGCATGGGCATGGGCATGGGCTAGGGCTAGGGCTTCGGCTTCTTGGGCTTTGTTTGGGCTAACCTACGATTGTCCTAACTTGGCATTTTCATATCTTTTTTTTTTTTTTTTAGTTAAAAAATATAAAAAAATTTACATATATTATCATGATTTGACCGATTTGGCTGGACGGAACCGCATACCCCAAAAGGAAAACTAATCTTAAGGCAGGCCTCTTTAGCGTGGATTATGAAGAGCCGTGCCCAAGGCTAGCTTTTAAGGTCTTGGGCGAACTTGAGATAGAGAGAGAGTGTTATCATTATCATATAATGTGTTGTATTATTTGCTTAGAGAGCAATTATGCAGTGAGAGGGAGGGCAATGTCAGCAACTAGAGGGAGATCGGATCTCATAAAAAGGTCTTGAAAGGAACTTGGAACCACATCACCACAAAATAAAATACAGTGAAAATAAAAAAAATATTTACAGCTTTGAATATCGCAATGTATTCACATTTTTCCAAGAGCCAAAGATAATAAAATTGAGTAAGCGATTTGGGACCCAAATTGGTAAGATACGGTCAATGAGTGAGTGGGTTCATTGCCATAAGGGAAGAAGCCTCTTTTCCCATTTTTGGGCAGCGTGTCAATTGCCTTTTGTCTTTCTGAAGAGAGAGAGAGAGAGAGCTACACGGTCATGAAAGAGAAAAAAAAGATTGAGAAAATAAGTACTAAACACTCGAATAGTAGAGTAAAAAGTCTCCTGATGGAAAGAAAGAGTATAGTACGTAAGTACAGAGTTATATTAGGGGTAGAAGAATTGGAAAGAGAGAATATGCCACACATTTACTAGAAAAGATAAAACTTCATGCCAGGAGGAGCGCTGGAAGTGCATATGAAGAGAGAGTGCATGCTGCATGCTATTTGCATTGCTTCAAAACCTGGATTGGTGTGGTGAACTGGTCTAGCCGCTTGATATTGTTCGAGTTGATTCACTAGTCTTCTAGAGCTTCTTCTATCGAGAACAAAAAAAAAAAAAAATCTAACAAGTGGAACGAGCGAAAGCTAATGGAGAAGTAGGGGGGATCATACTCCAAGAACTGGTACCCCAGTAATTCCAAGCTCAATGATTTTTAAAACGCCAGCCACATATTTAGTGATATCCAAAATAAAAATGAAAAAGAGACTTGCAACATATTTACTAGAGTGGTACGGTGTGCACAAGGTGTCAAAACTTAAATGATCAAAGTACGTGCACATACACTCATAACATTGAGCCGTTCACCGCATTACATTTCAAAGTCAATTTGGTAAAAGAGGGAGAAAAGGGCATGGAGTACAGTGAGACCATTTACCTTTTATATCCAAGTAGTCACAATTACTTACAATCTATCTCTATCTTATGTAAAAATCGATAGTTGGAATGTGTCACAAAGTCTTGGAATTTGAGCTTAGTCAATAGAATAATTGCAGCTTTCTAATTTCACATCCAAATGGTCAAGATTAATGTAACCATTTAGTATCAAAGATAACTGGTCTCATTATATTTTTTCTTTTAAAAAACTAAAAAAAAAAAAAAAAAAGAAGATGAAAAAAAAAGGTGGAGGTAAGGCTAACAACAAGTAAAGGCCAAGGAGGGTACCCTTGGCCCCAGACAGGGCCAAAGAAATATTGGTCGAGGATCTAACTTGGCTCTATAAAGATCAGTCGGCAGTCGGCCCGATCCAGGCCAAATAAAACAAAAAAAAAGGCTAGGCTGGGTGCCCTAGCCTTGGCGCGGGCTCGTCCTAACCTTAACCCTTTGGCCACATTTTACGGTTCAAGCGGTAAATTTCTAGGGCCGGGAAGACCAGCTCTACCGAGTACCCTGCCCATTGCTGGGTGTACCGTGGGGGAAGGGTTAAAGAAAAAACCCAATCCGGATCGCGCACCTTTATTACCTTCTTAAACTTCGACCTTTTGAACGGACGGTTCACAATTTTCCAAAAGCAAACATTCCTTTATGGCCCAAAACTTAAAACCAAAAAGGTGAGAGAGAGAGAGTACATTCTATTTCCTTCGAAGGGCGTTTTACTCTTCTTATTCCCACCCAATAAAAGGGCCAATTTAAGAGCGAGAGACCCACACTTGTGGACAAGAGAGAGAGAAAGAGAGCTCGACTTTATTGTACCGTGCTAAAGATATTATAGTCATAACATAAATAGTGGGTCTTTACAGTACTTCTTTCTAAAAAAAAAAATAAAAATGAATGCATGGGCGAGAAAGTTTTAGAGAGAGAAAGTCTCAAGATGGAGATACGGAATACCCACGAGTAAAATGTAGTCAACCCCGTCCACTCATTCTTCCCGACTAAAAAGATCACCATTCCCCGTAAACCCAACTACTGTTTTAGAGGGAGAAAGAGTGGTTTTGTAACTTTTGTTTGGAGTTTGGACTATAGACAGAGTGGGTTTTTTTTTTTGTGCGGATTAGAGAGAGAAAAGCGATAAAAATGTATCTTTTTTCTTAAATTTTTTTAACTGTAAGAGGGAGACAGACCTTCGATAGAGAAACAGGGAGTTACTCCCATTCTTATTGGTGAATGGGAGGGTCTGGAAGAGAATTTTTAGAGAGAGAAAGAGAGCTGATCAGAGAGAGATTGGTCGCTTGGTTAGGAAGGGAGGGAGGCAAGAGAGTGTTGCTTGGAAAGAAGAGAGAGGAAATGGGTTGTTGTGAGGGAGAACGTTAGAGAGGGAGAGAGTGGAGTCCTTTAGAGAGAGAAAATAAATTGCAAAAATCAGTCACCAAAAGTACCACGGCCACAGAATGGACAGCCCCCACCTTACTGGGAGCTGGCAATGGCCCTTATCAGCTTTTAAAGCCCCAATTTTCACATGAAAAACCAGTAAAAAGAGGAACCCACTTTTGGGAGCCAGCCTTAACTGGTACCCAAATGGGTTAGAGCAAGAGAGTCTCCAAGCTTAGAGAGAGAGAGAGAGTGACAGTTTTAGGGAGACAGAGAAATGGACTATGAGACCATGAATGGGCTAAAGCTCGGAAAGAGGATCTATTTTGAAGATGTGGGTTCTGGAAATCCGGCTAAGAAACCGCCGGAAAATGGAAATCCGAGTACTTCGAGTCGGAAAACCAGGGTTTCAGGCCAAAATGGGCAGCCACCAAGTTGCCAAGTTGAGGGATGTAAGGCTGATCTTACTGGTGCGAAGCCATATTATTGCAGGCACAAGGTTTGTGGGGCTCATTCCAAATCGCCAAAGGTGATTGTTGCTGGTTTGGAACAAAGGTTTTGTCAACAGTGCAGCAGGTTTGATTCGATTTATTCTTGGTCTTTTGGATTGGTTTTGGTTTTTGATTATTTTTTTTTGTTGCCGAGTTTTGGATTCATGTTCTCTCTCTATACATATATTTATCTCTCGCATATCTGTATCTATCTATCGTGTCTACCCTATTTTTGGGGCTTTTTTGTTGCTGAGTTTTTGGGGTTCTCTCTATCTGGATATCCTGTGTTTGGGTTTTTGGATTGGGCTTCTCTCTCTCTCTGGCTATCCGGTATTTGGGTTTTTGGATTGGGGTTCTCTCTCACTCTATACTGCATTTTGGTTTTTGGAATTTTCTCCTGTTTCTCTCTCTCTCTCTCTCTCTCTCTCTCTCTCTCTCTCTCTCTCTCTCTCTCTCTCTCTCTCTCTCTCTCTCTCTCTCTCTCTCTCTCTCTCTCTCTCTCTCTCTCTCTCTCTCTCTCTCTCTCTCTCTCTCTCTCTCTCGTCTCTCTCTCGTCTCGTCTCTCTCTCTCGTCTCGTCTCGTCGTCTCGTCGTCTCGTCGTCTCTC